GAAGACCTGAAGCTTAGTGCGGAGCGACAGACCAGGTAGCTTCCACACAGCGTTACGCAACCGATGAAAAGATATTGCCGCTCGACTGATTCGGAGTGAGACCTCTGCTGTTAAACTGGAGCCAGTCATAAGCACACTGCCCAGGTACGGGAAACTCTCCACTCTCTCCACAACTGCCCCATCACCGATTGGGAGTTGTGGGGGTGGAGTGTCCGATGGTACAAAATACCCAGGCAGGTGCTTAGTTTTGGTGGGGCTGATGGTAAGGCCCCACCTCTTAGTGGCACGCTCCAGTCTCAGCAGCAGCGTCTCCAACTCCTCCTCTGACTGAGCAGCTATTACCAAGTCATCAGCATACATAACGTGGTTGAGCAATAGGGAGCCATCCCTTGACCGCACCCGGGCATCGATTAGCCTCCCATTATATCTGTACCATATGGAGATTCCCCCGGTACAGCTATTGAAGGCTTCACGAACTACGTGGTCAAAATAGATGTTAAATAATGTGGGAGCCAGAGGACATCCCTGTCGCACCCCAAGGTGTACAGGGAATGGCTCTGACTCCCGGCCACGTAGTTTTACCCGGGCCCGCTCACCATCATGAAGGTCCTTAATGATCGTGAGCAGAGGGTCAGGTACTCCAAAAGCACGAAGAACGACCCAGAGCCCAGGCCTACTGATGGTATCATAGGCCTTGACCAGGTCAATAAAGCAGAGATGTAGGTCTTGTTGGAATTCCCTACACCTCTGCTGTAGCAGACGGACAGAAAATATGACACACCCACACACACACAACCACAACCACACACACACCCCCACACACACACACACCCCCACACACTCACACACACACACCCACCCAAACACACCCACAAACACTCACACAACCACACACACACACCCACACACACACAACCACACACACATTCACACACACACACAACCACACATACACACACTCACACACACACAACCATACATCCACCCACACACACACTCACACACCCACACACTCACACACACAACCACACACACACTCAAACAACCACACACACACCCACACACCCCCACACAACAACACACACACACCCACACACACACCCACACACACCCACACACACACAACCACAACCACACGCTCACACACACACACAACCACACACTCACCCACATACACACACAAACCACACACTCACACACAGACCCACACACTCACACACACACTCACACACACACTCACACACCCACACACTCACACACACAACCACACACACACTCACACACACACACAACCACACACACACACCTACACACCCCCACACACCAACACACACACACACCCACACACACACCACACACACACACACCCACACACACAACCACAACCACACGCTCACACACACACAACCACACACTCATCCACATACACACACACAAACCACACACTCACACACAGACCCACACACTCACACCCACACACACCCACACACACTCACACACCCACACACTCACACACACAACCACACACACACACCCACACACACACAACCACACACACATTCACACACACACAACCACACACACACACCCACACACTCACACACACACAACGACACATCCACCTACACACACACTCACACACCCACACACTCACACACAACCACACACACACTCACACACACACACAACCACACACTCACCCACATACACACACACACACAACCACACACTCACACACAGACCCACACACTCACACACACCCACACACCCACACACACACACCCACAAACACACTCACACCTACCCACACACCCACACACACACCCACACCCACCCACACACCCACACACACACACCCACAAACACACTCACACACACACCCACCCACACACCCACACCCAACCACACACCCACACGCACACACCCACAAACACACTCACACACACACACACCCACACACCCACACCCACCCACACACACCCACACCCACAAACACACTCACACACACACACCCCCACACACTCACACACACACACAGACACACACAGACACACAGACCCACACAGACACACACAAACACACACACACAGAAACACACACACTCCCACACACACCCACCCACACATACACCCACACACACACACTCACACACACACTCACACACTCACTCACACACTCACACACACACTTACACACACACCCACACACCCACACACACACACACACCCACACACACCTTCACACACACACACCCACACAACCACACACCCACACACACAACCACACACCCACACAGCCCCACACACTCACACACACACACACAGACCCACACACTCACACACACCCACACACTCACACACACCCACACACACACAACCACACCCACACACCCACACTCACACACACACACACCCACACACTCACACCCTCACACACACAACCACACACCCACACACACACACACCCACTCACACACACACACACCCACACACACACACCCCCACACACGCACACACACACAGACCCACACACTCACACACACACCCACACAACCACACACCCACACACACACAACCACAACCACACACTCACACAAACCCACACACACACAACCACACCCACACACCCACACTCACACACTCACACACTCACACACACACACACACCTACACACCCACACCCACCCACACACACCCACACCCACAACCACACCCACACACCCACACTCACACACTCACACACTCACACACACACACACACCTACACACCCACACCCACCCACACACACCCACACCCACAAACACACTCACACACACACACCCCCACACACTCACACAGACACACAGACCCACACAGACACACACAAACACACACACACAGAAACACACACACTCCCACACACACCCACCCACACATACACCCACACACACACACTCACACACACACTCACACACTCACTCACACACTCACACACACACTTACACACACACACCCACACACACCTTCACAACCACACACCCACACACACAACCACACACCCACACACCCCCACACACTCACACACACACACACACAGACCCACACACTCACACAGACCCACACACTCACACACACACACACACCCACACACTCACACACACCCACACACACACAACCACACCCACACCCACACCCTCACACACACAACCACACACCCACACACACACACACACCCACTCACACACACACACACCCACACACACACACCCCCACACACTCACACACACACAGACCCAGACCCACACACTCACACACACTCCCACACAACCACACACCCACAACCACAACCACAACCACACACTCACACAAACCCACACACACACACCCACACACACCTTCACACACACACACCCACACAACCACACACCCACACACACAACCACACACCCACACAGCCCCACACACTCACACACACACACACAGACCCACACACTCACACACACCCACACACTCACACACACCCACACACACACAACCACACCCACACACCCACACTCACACACACACACACCCACACACTCACACCCTCACACACACAACCACACACCCACACACACACACACCCACTCACACACACACACACCCACACACACACACCCCCACACACGCACACACACACAGACCCACACACTCACACACACACCCACACAACCACACACCCACACACACACAACCACAACCACACACTCACACAAACCCACACACACACAACCACACCCACACACCCACACTCACACACTCACACACTCACACACACACACACACCTACACACCCACACCCACCCACACACACCCACACCCACAACCACACCCACACACCCACACTCACACACTCACACACACACACACACCTACACACCCACACCCACCCACACACACCCACACCCACAAACACACTCACACACACACACCCCCACACACTCACACAGACCCACACAGACACACACAAACACACACAAACACACACACAGAAACACACACACACACACTCACACACACACACCCCCACACTCACACACTCACACACTCACACACTCACACACTCACACACTCACACACACACACCTACACACCCACACCCACCCACACACACCCACACCCACAACCACACCCACAACCACACCCACACACCCACACTCACACACTCACACACACCTACACACCCACACTCACACACACACCTACACACCCACACCCACCCACACACACACACACACCCACACCCACAAACACACTCACACACACACACCCCCACACAGACACACACACACACACCCCCACACAGACACACACAAACACACACACACAGAAACACACACACTCCCACACACCTACACACACACACCTACACACCCACACCCACCCACACACACACACACCCACACCCACACCCACACACACCCACACCCACACACACCCACACCCACACACACCCACACCCACACACACCCACACACACCCACACCCACACACACCCACACCCACAAACACACTCACACACACACACCCCCACACACTCACACAGACACACACACACTCCCACACACACCCACACCCACAAACACACTCACAAACACACTCACACACACACACCCCCACACACTCACACAGACACACACAAACACACACACACACACACAGAAACACACACACACCCACACACACACAGACCCACACACTCACACACACACCCACACACTCACACCCACCCACCCACACCCACAAACACACCCACACACACTCACACCCCCACACACACTCACACACAGACCCACACACTCACACACACACTCACACACACACCCACACACTCACACCCACCCACCCACACCCACAAACACACCCACACACACTCACACCCCCACACCCACACACACACAGACCCACACACTCACACACACACCCACACACACACCCACACACTCACACCCCCACACACACACAACCACACACCCACCCACCTGTGTACAGGCGATGGAAGAGGGCCTGGGGTAAGTGTTCGCACAGCAAGTGAGACGGAACGTCTCTCCTGTCGAATCCTCTCGGCTTTTATCGTGAAAATAACAACAGCAGCAGCAGCAGTCACTCTACACACGCAGCAATGTCTCTGTATCTCTAGCTCACAACAGTCGTTACATTCATTATAATCTAACACACACAGACACACACACAGAGACACACACAAACACACAGACACAGACACACACAGAGCTAGACACACACGCACAGACACACACACAGACACTCACACAGATATACACACAGACACACACAGACGCACACACACACAGAGACACAGACACACACAAACACACACACAGACACACACACACAGACACACACAGACACTCACACACTCACACAGACACACACACAGACACACACACAGACACTCACACAGATATACACACAGACACACACAGACGCACACACACACTGAGACACAGACACACACAAACACACACACAGACACACACACACAGACACACACAGACACTCACACACTCACACAGACACACACACAGACACACAGACAGACACACAGACACTCACACAGACACACACAGACACACAGACACAGACACACACAAACACACACAGACACACACACACAGACCCACACAGACACACACAAACACAGACACACACACAGACACACAGATACACACACAGACACACACGCGCACACTATTTTAGCTATCTGCTTACGAGGTTAAATCGAATCAGCCCAGTTGGTTAATTAGCGGTTAGCTGGACTGGTTATCGGTTAGCTGGACTGGATAGCGGTTAACGGTTAGCTGGACTGGTTAACGGTTAGCTGGACGACTGTCCAGCGGTGATTGAAATCGACTCTCACTCGATCTCGTCTCTGATGTTTGACCTCAAATCAACAATCACCACCAACACCAACACCACCACCCACTCACTCTCTCTCCCCCCACTCTCTCTCTCTCCCCCCACTCTCTCTCTCCCCACTCTCTCTCTCTCCCTACTCTCTCTCTCCCCAATCTCTCTCTCTCCCCCCACTCTCTCTCTCTCCCCACTCTCTCCCCACTCTCCCCCACTCTCTCTCTCTCCCCACTCTCCCCCCACTCTCCCCACTCTCTCTCCCCCCCCCTCCCACTCTCTCTCTCTCTCCCCACTCTCACTCCCCACTCTCTCTCTCCCCCCCCCCACTCTCTCTCCCCCCACTCTCTCTCTCCCCCCACTCTCTCTCCCCACTCTCCCCCCCACTCTCTCTCTCCCCACTCTCTCTCTCTCTCCCCCCACTCTCTCTCCCCACTCTCTCTCTCCCCCCCACTCTCTCTCTCTCTCCCCCCCACTCTCTCTCTCTCTCCCCCCACTCTCTCTCTCCCCCCACTCTCTCTCTCTCCCCCCACTCTCTCTCCCCACTCTCCCCCCACTCTCTCTCTCCCCCCACTCTCTCTCTCCCCACTCTCTCTCTCCCCACTCTCCCCCCACTCTCTCTCCCCACTCTCCCCCCACTCTCTCTCTCCCCACTCTCTCTCTCTCTCTCCCCCCACTCTCTCTCCCCACTCTCTCTCTCCCCCACTCTCTCTCTCTCTCCCCCCACTCTCTCTCTCTCCCCGCTCTCTCTCTCTCCCCCCACTCTCTCTCCCCACTCTCCCCCCACTCTCTCTCTTCCCCCCACTCTCTCTCTCTCCCCCCACTCTCTCTCCCCACTCTCCCCCCACTCTCTCTCTCCCCACTCTCTCTCTCTCCCCCCACTCTCTCTCTCCCCCCACTCTCCCCCCACTCTCTCTCTCTCTCCCCCCACTCTCCCCCCACTCTCTCTCTCCCCACTCTCTCTCTCTCCCCCCACTCTCTCTCTCTCTCCCCACTCTCTCCCTCTCCCCCCACTCTCCCCACTCTCCCCACTCTCTCCCCCCACTCTCTCCCCACTCTCCCCCCACTCTCTCTCCCCCCACTCCCCCAACTCTCCCCCCACTCTCTCTCTACCCTCTCTCCCCCCCCCCTCTCTCTCCCCCAACTCTCCCCCCACTCTCTCCCCCCTATCCCCACTCTCTCCCCCCAATCTCTCTCTCCCCACTCTCTCCCCACTCTCTCCCCCCACTCTCTCTCTCCCCCCACTCTCTCTCTCTCCCCCCACTCCCTCTCTCTCTCCCCCACTCTCTCCCCCCACTCTCTCCCCCCACTCTCTCTCCCCCCACTCTCTCCCCCCCTCTCTCTCCCCCCCCCCTCTCTCTACCCACGCTTCCCACTCTCTCCCTCCAGTCTCTCTCTCTCCCCACTCCCCCCACTCTCCCCCCACTCTCTCTCTCCCCTCTCTCCCCACTCTCTCTCTCCCCGCACTCTCCCCCCACTCTCTCCCCCCACTCTCTCCCTCTCCCCCCACTTTCCCTCCACTCTCTCTCCCCCCACTCCCCCCACTCTCCCCCCACTCTCTCTCTCCCCTCTCTCCCCCCCCTCTCTCCCCCCACTCTCTCCCCCCACTCTCTCCCCCCACTCTCCCCACTCTGCCCACTCTCTCCCCCCAATCTCTCCCCACTCTACCCCATTCTCTCTCTCCCCACTCTCTCTCCCCACTCTCTCCCCACTCTCTCCCCCCATTCTCTCTCCTCACCCTCTCTCCCCCCACTCTCCCCCCACTCTCTCTCCCCACTCTCTCCCCCCACTCTCCCCCCACTCTCTCTCCCCACTCTCTCCCCACTCTCTCTCCCCACTCTCCCCCCACTCTCCCCCCACTCCCTCTCCCCACTCTCTCCCCCTTCTCTCTCCCCACTCTCTCCCCACTCTCTCCCCCCACTCTCTCCCTCTCCCCCCACTCTCCCTCCCCTCTCTCTCCCCCAACTCTCCCCACTCTCCCCCCACTCTCCCCCCACTCTCTCTCTCCCCTCTCTCCCCACTCTCCCCAATTTCTCCCCCCCCCCCCACTCTCTCCCTCTCCCCCCACTCTCTCTCTCCCCCCACTCTCCCCCCACTCTCTCCCCCCACTCTCCCCACTCTCCCCACTCTATCCCCCCACTCTCTCTTTCCCTACTCTTTCCCCCCACTCTCTCTCCCCCCACTCTCTCTCCCCCCACTCTCCCCCCACTCTCTCTGCCCACTCTCTCTCTCCCCACTCTCCCCCCACTCTCACTCCCCACTCTCTCTCTCCCCACTCTCCCCCCCCCCCCCACTCTCCCCCCACTCTCTCTCTCCTCACTCTCCCCCCACTCTCTCTCTCCCCCCCACTCTCTCTCTCTCCCCACTCTCTCTCCCTCTCCCCCCACTCTCCCCCACTCTCTCTCTCCCCCCCACTCTCCCCCCACTCTCTCCCTCTCCCCCCACTCTCCCCACTCTCCCCACTCTCTCCCCCCACTCTCTCCCCACTCTCCCCCCACTCTCTCTCTCCCCCCACTCCCCCCACTCTCTCCCCACTCTCTCTCTCTCCCCTCTCTCCCCCCCTCTCTCTCCCCCAACTCTCCCCCCACTCTCTCCACACTCTCCCCACTCTCTCCCCCCACTCTCTCTCTCCCCACTCTCTCTCCCCCCACTCTTCCCCCAATCTCTCTCCCCACTCTCTCCCCCCACTCTCCCCCCACTCTCTCTCCCCACTCTCTCCCCACTTTCTCTCTCCCCACTCTCTCTCCCCCCACTCTCTCCCCACTCTCTCCCCCCACTCTCTCTCCCCACTCTCTCTCCCCCCACTCTCCCCCCACTCCCTCTCCCCACTCTCTCCCCCTTCCCTCTCCCAACTCTCTCCCCACTCTCTACCCCCACTCTCTCCCTCTCCCCCCACTCTCCCTCGTCTCTTTCCCCCCACTCTCCCCACTCTCCCCCCACTCTCCCCCCACTCTCTCTCTCCCCCCACTCCCTCTCTCCCCCCACTCCCTCTCTCCCCACTCTCCCCCCACTCTCTCCCTCTCCCCCCACTCTCCCTCCACTCTCTCTCTCCCCCCACTCTCCCCCCACTCTCTCTCCCCCCACTCTCCCCCCACTCTCTCTGCCCTCTCTCTCCCCACTCTCCCCCCACTCTCTCTCCCCACTCTCTCTCCCCACTCTCCTCCCACTCTCTCCCCCCACTCTCTCTCCCCCCACTCCCCCCACTCTCCCCCCACTCTCTCTCTCCCCACTCTCTCTCCCCCCCCACTCTCTCTCTCCCCCCACTCTCTCTCTCCCCACTCTCCCCCCACTCTCTCTCTCCCCCCCACTCTCTCTCTCCCCCCACTCACTCTCTCCCCACTCTCTCTCCCTCTCCCCCCACTCTCCCCCACTCTCTCTCTCCCTCCACTCTCCCCCCACTCTCTCCCCCCACTCTCTCCCTCTCCCCCCACTCTCCCCACTCTCCCCACTCTCTCCCCCCACTCTCTCCCCACTCTCCCCCCACTCTCTCTCTCCCCCCACTCTCCCCCCACTCTCTCTCTCCCCTCTCTCCCCCCCCCCTCTCTCTCCCCCAACTCTCCCCCCACTCTCTCCCCACTATCCCCACTCTCTCCCCCCAATCTCTCTCACCCCACTCTCTCCCCACTCTCTCCCCCCACTCTCTCTCCCCACTCTCTCTCCCCACTCTCTCCCCACTCTCTATCTCCCCACTCTCTCTCCCCCCACTCTCTTCCCACTCTCTCCCCCCACTCTCTCTCCCCACTCTCTCTCCCCCACTCTCCCCCCACTCCCTCTCCCCACTCTCTCCCCCTTCTCTCTCCCCACTCTCTCCCCACCCTCTCCCCCCACTCTCTCCCTCTCCCCCCACTCTCCCTCCTCTCTCTCTCCCCTCTCTCCCCCCCCTCTCTCCCCCCCACTCTCCCCCCACTCTCTCCCCCCACTCTCCCCACTCTCCCCACTCTCTCCCCCCAATCTCTCCCCACTCTCCCCCCACTCTCTCTCTCCCCACTCTCTCCCCCCACTCTCTCCCCACTCTCCCCCCCCACTCTCTCTCCCCACCCTCTCTCCCCCCACTCTCCCCCCACTCTCTCTCCCCACTCTCTCCCCCCACTCTCCCCCCACTCTCTCTCCCCACTCTCTCCCCACTCTCTCTCTCCCCACCCTCCCCCCACTCTCCCCCACTCCCTCTCCCCACTCTCTCCCCCTTCTCTCTCCCCACTCTCTCCCCACTCTCTCCCCCCACTCTCTCCCTCTCCCCCCACTCTCCCTCCTCTCTCTCTCCCCTCTCTCCCCCCCCCCTCTCTCCCCCCACTCTCCCCCCACTCTCTCTACCCACGCTTCCCACTCTCTCCCTCCAGTCTCTCTCTCTCCCCACTCTCCCCCCACTCTCTCTCTCCCCACTCTCTCTCCCCACTCTCTCCCCACTCTCTCCCCCCACTCTCTCTCCCCACCCCTCTCCCCCCACTCTCACCCCACTCTCTCTCCCCACTCTCTCCCCCCACTCTCCCCCCACTCTCTCTCCCCACTCTCACCCCACTCTCTCTCCCCACTCTCTCCCCCCACTCTCCCCCCACTCTCTCTCCCCACTCTCTCCCCACTCTCTCTCTCCCCACTCTCCCCCCACTCTCCCCCCACTCCCTCTCCCCACTCTCTCCCCCTTCTCTCTCCCCTCTCTCTCCCCACTCTCTCCCCCCACTCTCTCCCTCTCCCCCCACTCTCCCTCCCTTCTCTCTCCCCCCACTCTCCCCACTCTCCCCCCACTCTCCCCCCACTCTCTCTCTCCCCTCTCTCCCCACTCTCCCCAATTTCTCCCCCCCCCCCACTCTCTCCCTCTCCCCCCACTCTCTCTCTCCCCCCACTCTCCCCCCACTCTCTCCCCCCACTCTCCCCACTCTCCCCACTCTATCCCCCCACTCTCTCTTTCCCTACTCTTTCCCCCCACTCTCTCTCCCCCCACTCTCTCTCCCCACTCTCCCCCCACTCTCTCTCTCCCCACTCTCTCTCTCTCCCCCCACTCTTTCTCCCCACTCTCTCTCTCCCCCCCACTCTCTCTCTCTCTCCCCCCCACTCTCTCTCTCCCCTCACTTTCTCTCTCCCGCCACTCTCTCTCCCCACTCTCCCC